TAACTGTAAGGTCCTAATAGCCTATAAATAGTCCCTCTCATCTACTCTTTTCTAGACCACTAACACATCAACTATTTTCTATACAAGAGAGATTACTAGCAAAGAAGGGTGTTTTATTGGTGGAGCTTTGGGTTCACCATCTTGTGCAGAATTGGCCTGAACCATACGACAAGTGGTCGGGCTGTTGTATCTTGGAGGGGACAAGTCATAGTGTTGTGACTGCTGCATTGGTATTTGGATTCTTCCTACTGCAGTGGGCTTGATCTCCTTAAAGAAAACGAGATATCCGTGCTTCAGCCTGATCTATTTGTATCTCATTTTCTTTGCATCATTTATCAATAATATAGTTTAGTTTTTGGTATTTTCTCCAACAATTTTAAGGAGATCAAATATGGAACAAGTACCAGAAAAAACCAATGATGGAATTGGAGATCTCAACAAACCTTTCAAGTTCAAAGAGTTCATTTTAAGAGGTGGAAATGAAAAGTTCTTTTTTACCTTAGCCTTTTGAAAGTTGCATATGTTCTTACCGAAAAGAATCCGAACAAAATCCCAACCGAGGAGATGAATGATGAAGACTATGAGGCACATGAAACAAAAGTGGCTTCCTATAATACAGATGAGTATAAATGTCGCTTTTATCTCTTAAATTGCCTTGCTGATCAATTTTATGATTACTATGACACCACATACATGTTATCTTCTATTAATTTATGGCATCCTCGCTTGTGTCATATAAATAGTAAATATGTGGGAATCATGAGTAGTTTAGAATTAATTCCTAAAGTGACAAAAAATTTTGAGAAATGTGAAGTTTGCAGAAAAGCAAAAATTACCAAGAGGCCTCATAAAAGTGTTGAAAAAAAATACCGAATTGCTAGAATTATTTCATTCTGATTTGTGTGAGTTTGAAGGAATTTTAACTCGGGGTGGTAACCGATATTTTATCACTTTTATTGATGTTTTTTCAAAATATACAAACGTATATTTATTAAAAAATAAGAGTGATGCTTTTGAGAAATTTAAAGAATTCCTTCTTGAAGTGGAAAATCAATTCGGTAAAAAGATTAAAAGAATTAGAAGTGATGGAGGCCGGGAGTATGAATCTCTAGGATTCAACTCTTTTGTTCAGTCATTGGGAATCATTCTTGAGACTACTCCACCATATTCACCTTCATCAAATGGCGTAGCTGAAAGAAAAAATAGAACGTTAATTGACTTGACGAATGCTATGCTTATTGATTCAGGTACTCCCTCAAATTTTTGGGGTGAGGCTATTTTGACAGCTTGCCATGTGATAAATAGAGTGCCACACAAAAAGACTAAAATTGTCCCTTATGAGTTGTGGCGAGGGCATAAACCAAATTTAGGTTATTTGAGGGTTTGGGGTTGTTTAGCTTTTGTGAGGCTTGCAGATCCTAAACGACCTAAATTGGGTGAACGAGCTACCACTTGTGCTTTTCTTGGGTATGCGTTGCATAGTACAGCTTATAGATTTTTTGATATGGAAAATAATATTATTTTTGAATCAGGTGATGCTATTTTTCATGAAAATAAATTTCCTTTCAAATCTAGAAATAGTGGGGGTCAAATAATATCTGAAAATATTTTATCTATACCTAGCTCTTCTACTCCTTCTCAAGTTTTTCAAGAAAAAGAAAATTTTCAAATTCAACCAAAAAGAAGTAAACGAGCTAGAGTTGAAAAAGATTTTAGCCCTGACTATTATCTTTACAATGTGGAAGAAATTCCTCATACGGTACAAGAAGCTTTATTGTGACTGCTGCATCGGTATTTGGATTCTTCCTACCGCAGTGGGCTTGATCTCCTTAAAGAAAACGAGATATCTGTGCCTCAGCCTGATCTATTTGTATCTCATTTTTTTTTTTGCATCATTTATCAATAATATAGTTTAGTTTCTGGTATTTTCTCCAACAGCTCCTCTTCCAAAAACCTTCTTCTTCTTCTTCTTCTTTAACTTTTCCTGCATGCTTGAAAATGGCTATAAGACTAATGAATGTGATAAGTGCATATATTATAAAACTTGTGAGAATGCACATGTGATTATTAGCCTATATGTGGATGATCTACTTATCTTTGGCTCTAATTTGCATATTATAAATGAGACTAAAAATATGCTTAATAGCCACTTTGATATGAAAGATCTTGGTGAAGCTAATTTTATTTTGGGAATTAAAGTTACCAAGACTGAGGATGGCATTTTTCTTGATCAGTCGCATTATGTTGAGAAAATTTTAAAGAAATATAATTTTCTAGACTGTAAATATGTTGCTACTCCTTTTGATGCAAGCATACACTTATCTGTTGTAACAAATGAAAAAGAAGTGATTAATCAAAAGGAATATGCTAGTATGATTGGTAGTTTGAGATATGCTACTGACTGTACTAGACCTGACATTGCATATGCTGTTGGAGTACTTAGCAGGTTTACTAGCAAACCAAGTCGAGATCATTGGCTAGCCATGGGAAGAATTATGAGATATTTATTTGGAACAAAAAAATTATGGTTTGTTTTATAACAAGTATCCTGCGGTACTTGAGGGATATAGTGATGCCGACTAGAACACTTTGTCAGGTGATTCTCTCTCTACCTCGGGTTTTATTTTTACCTTGGGTGGTAGTGCTATATGTTGGAAGTCTAAAAAACAGACGATAATTGGAAGTCTAAAAAACAGACGATAATTGCTAATTCCACAATGGAAGCTGAGCTTATAGCGTTAGTATCAGCATGTGAGGAAGCGAATTGGTTGAGAGATTTGTTACATGAAATTCCTTTTTGGGAAAAACCAATTCCTTCTGTGTTAATTCGTTGTGATAGCACTGCTGCTATTGGTAGAGTGAACAATCATTTTTATAATGGTAAATCCAGACCTATTAGAAGGAAACACAGTAATGTGAGATCCTATTTGAGTAATGGCATCATAACTGTGAATTATGTAAGATCTTGTGATAATCTTGCGGATCCGTTAACCAAGGCCTTGGCGAGAGATAGGGTCTGGAATACATCAAGGGGGATGGGTTTGAAGCCTATAAAATCAAAAACCATGTATGAGGATACCCAACCTAGGGACCAGAGATCCTGTAACTAGGTTCAATGGGAAGGACGAATCATATGGTGGTTGTAAAAATGCACTCTTTAATATTTTTGTTATCCATCCCTATGATGTAAGTGCATTTGTCCTGTAATGTTGGAGGGTTGAGTTTTTATGCTCTTAATGAAATTCTGTAGCTCTTGTTGAGTGGGGTGTGTAAATTACAGGAACATCCTTGACAGATTTCACCTATGTGAGCATGATAGTGGGGCCGTTTTCTATGAGAACAAGGCTTATTCTCAAATATGCTCATGAAAACTGGGATTAGCACAAGGCCGTAATGTGCTGGCTATTAAAGCTCATGTCAACACCTGGACTATTATGTGTGAGCAGTAATACTTTATTTCCCCTAAGCAGTCATAGTTCAAGTCTGAGACCACTACTGACTCTGGAGTAAAGGTTGCTGTTTCACTAATGAAGGTTCAATGCAGAGCACACCTTCATGATGCATACTAGTATATCTTTGTTTGGTAATCTATTTTATCCTTGTTGATATTAAAATGAGTGGGGGATTGTTGGACCATTTTAATATCTTATATTTATTTATTGATTTATCTTTTTCATAAATGAGATTTTATTACTTTGGTAACCTCTTGGTCATAAATGGAGGTTAAATAGAATTCATGAACTTGGTTAATGGTCATTATTTTGGTGTAACCATTTTCTTGTTTAATGGTCATTATTTTTGGTGGCCTATATATAGTCTACTCTTTTCTAACACATCAACTATTTTTCTATACAAGAGAGATTACTAGCAAAGAAGGGTGTTTTATTGGTGGAGTTTTGGGTTCACCATCTTGTGTAGAGTTGGCCTGAACCATACGACAAGTGGTCGGGCTATTGTATCCTGGAGGGGACAAGTCATAGTGTTGTGACTGTTGCATCGGTATTTGGATTCTTCCTATCACAGTGGGCTTGATCTCCTTAAAGAAAATGAGATATCCGTGCCTCAGCCTGATCTATTTGTATCTCATTTTCTTTGCATCATTTATCAATAATATAGTTTAGTTTCTGGTATTTTCTCCAACAGATGAATCTTCAAATCTCATATGGTCATCGAATCAAACAATCTTTTCAACTAACAGCAACACAGTCGCACATCTTTTGGATTATGGAAACTTGTTCTTTGCCAAGAAAATGATTTGAATCTTGAGAATTATCTCTGGCAAAGCTTTGATCACCCAACAGACCCTTTGTTGCCAGGAATGAAGCTCGGACCCATCGACTAGTAAGTACTCATTCAAGCTCAACATCAATGGCTTCCCTGAGATTTTTCTGAGGAGGAATAAAGTTATACTGTATCGAAGTAGGTTGTGGAACGGACTGAGATTCAATGAGGTTCCAAAGATATAACCCAAAAGCTCTGTTATCACATTCAGCTTCGTGATGAACAAAAACAATGTATTCTATTCATTCAGATTGATAGACAATTCTATATATTCTAGACTTTCGATGATGTCGATTGGTGTTCTTCAACGATATACATGGATTGCAACTAGTCAATTATGGAACCCATTTTGGTATGCGCCGGAAGATCAATGCGATCGATACATAAAGTGTGAAGTTTATGGGGTTTGCTATACTAATGAGTTGCATGTGTGCAAGTATATGGAAAGGTTTGAGCCGAGGAATTTATAGGCGTGGGGGTTAAGAGATGGGCATGATGGGTGTATGAGGAAGAAGGGATTCAAGTGTAGTGATGATCAGTGACGGAGCCATGAATTTAATATAGGGGGGCACCCATTAATTACAATCTCAAAATTTTTCTTTCCCAATCAATAACAATAACATAATAATAATTTTTCAAGCTAATGTTAAACATTAAAAATTAATATCCATTACAAAAAGTTTTAAATTTTAAACTTTTACAATTGACCCTGACGAGTTTCATCTTTTGAAATCTTTCCATAATAGTATCATTTCAATGCTATCAAAAATATCTCTCTCAATGTAGACAACCAAGCTATCATACATCCATTTATCACTCATTCGGTTCCGCAACCGATTCTTCACAATATTCATAGCTGAAAATACCCTCTCAACAATAACAGTTGCAATAGTTAAGATTAATGCTAAAGTCAAGAGCAAATATACCAATGGATGTACTTTGTCTTTTCTAGTCTCTACCATTTTCTTAGTAAGATCGACAATTCCATTCAATATTGAGAACTCACTACTGGATAGTATGTCGATAATATATGTATTAAGTTGATCATTAAGTACCATGAGCTCCACTGAAGAAAAGTTTTTGGGATAAAATTCAGCAAGATGAATTAACTTTTTCCTATCAAAACTAGAGAAAGAGTTAGATGGATTCAAACATGCCACACAAAGTAACAAATTAATGTTCGACTTAGTGAAACGAGCATTTAATTCTTGAACTTGCATATCCAAAACAGTGTAAAATAACTCAGCACGATAGTGATGTAAGTTTGTAATTTCTTAAGCATTGCGCCTTTTTCTCCCTCGAGCTACAAACATATCTTCCATTTAGGGAACATCAATTTCATGCTTTTCACAAAAAGACAAAATATCATCAAGTAAAGATGTCCACCCATTCTCCCTCATCTTTTGGAGTCGTACTTTAGAAATTTGAACTAAATTCATAGCATTAACAATATCTTGATCCTTCCTTTGTAGTGCTTGCGATAACTCACTTGTAATAGCCAATATCGTTTTCATCAAATGAAGGTTGAATACAAACTCAAATGATTGAATTGAGTCCAATAATACATTTGCTTCTGCTCATTGTTCTGAATTAGAACCATCCTCCGAAATCATTTCAAGCACATCAATCACTATTAAAAACATACTAGCTAAGCTGACTAAAGTACCATAGTGTGAACCCTAATGTGAATCACCAGCACGTTTAAGATTAGTTTCTTGATTTAAGCATTGCCCACTAGATAGCTCTCCAGTATTAAGTGCCTCAGCAACTTTTGCAGCTTGCTTCTCCCTAATAATATCTCGATGTTTACATGATGCTCCAACAACATTCACCACATTAGAAACCAAAGTGAAAAGTAAAGCAATTTGATTATGATTCTTTGCCATGGCTACAAGTGCCAATTGCAATTAATGAGCAAAACAATGAACATAATATGCAGAAGGATTCTCTTTCAGTATAAGTGTTTTAAGACCATTGAACTCACCTTGCATATTACTAGCCCCATCATATCCTTGACCCCGCAATCTGGAAATACTCAACCCAAGTCTGGAGAATAAATTTTCCATAGCTTGTTTAAGTGACAGAGCATTCGTATTAACAACATGCTCAGTACCCAAAAAGCGCTCAATCACTTGGCCTTTTTTGTCAACATATCGTATTACAACTGCCATTTGCTCCTTGATTGATATGTCACCGGCTTCATCAATCAAAATAGAAAAAAGTGCATCACCAAGATCTCTAATAATCACATTGATAGTTTCAAATGCGGCCACATTTACAATGTCTTTTTGAATATCAGGAGATGTCAACTTGATATTTTGTGGAGCATTGCTCAATGTAACCACTTTGACATCTTCATTATGATCAACAAGGCATTAACAATATCTTGATCTTTCCTTTGTAGTGCTTGCGATAACTCACTTGTAATAGCTAATATCGTTTTCATCAAATGAAGGTTGAATACAAACTCAAATGATTGAATTAAGTCCAACAATACATTTGCTTATGCTCGTTGTTCTGAATTTGAACCATCCTCCAAAATCATTTCAAGTACATCAATCACTGTTGAAAACATACTAGCCAAGCTGACTAAAGTACCATAGTGTGAACCCCAACGTGTATCACCAGCACGTTTAAGATTAGTTTCTTGATTTAAGCCTTGCCCACTAGATAGCTCTCCAGTATTAAGTGCCTCAGCAACTTTTGCAGCTTGCTTCTCCCTAATAATATCTCGATGTTTACATGATGCTCCAACAACATTCACCACATTAGAAACCAAAGTGAAAAGTAAAGCAATTTGATTATGATTCTTTGCCATGGCTACAAGTGCCAATTGCAATTAATGAGCAAAACAATGAACATAATATGCAGAAGGATTCTCTTTCAGTATAAGTGTTTTAAGACCATTGAACTCACCTTGCATATTACTAGCCCCATCATAACCTTGACCCCGCAATTTGGAAATACTCAACCCAAGTCTGGAGAATAAATTTTCCATAGCTTGTTTAAGTGACAGAGCATTCATATTAACAACATGCTCAGTACCCAAAAAGCGCTCAATCACTTGGCCTTTTTTGTCAACATATCGTATTACAACTGCCATTTGCTCCTTGATTGATATGTCACCGGCTTCATCAATCAAAATAGAAAAAAGTGCATCACCAAGACCTCTAATAATCACATTGATAGTTTTAAATGCGGCCACATTTACAATGTCTTTTTGAATATCAGGAGATGTCAACTTGATATTTTGTGGAGCATTGCTCAATGTAACCACTTTGACATCTTCATTATGATCAGCAAGAAACTTGAGAAGTTCAAGAAAATTTCCTTGGTTACTTGAATTTTTAGATTCATCATGCCCATGAAACGCAAGTCCTTGTCTTAGAAGAAATTTAACACAACTAACCGATGAATTCAAACGGGTTCGATACTCAATTCAAGCTTGATCAGATTGTTTGAAAAAATCGTTTCAATATGTTGGTTTTGGTTTAACAAGTCTTGACATTTACTCGAAGCTTGATTATGAGCACTGTTGAGACCTCCAACATGAGTTTGAATTTTTCTTTTTTCTTCCAATTTGAGAAACCCTCATCAACAAAAGAATCACCACCAGCTTGATCTCCAATATCGGTTTAAAAAGATAACAACATAAACAAAATGCTGCATCTTTTGCTACGCTATACTCTAACCAATTACGAAATTCACTAAACCAAGCCTGATTAAATCGCCGAAGTTTTTGTCCAAATGATTTTTGTGGAAAATTATGATCACGAAGTTGACAAGGACCTTTTTGTAGATATTCCCTACGAATTCGGTCTCAATCATTAGCATTATAGTCCATAATCCGAGGCCGTAGTCCTGGATCTGTAGGAAGGTCTACTAAGTTGATTTCTATGCGACTTTGTTTTGCAGAAGGATAATTATCATCTTTTTCTTGAGAAAGAGATGATTTCAACTTTGATTTTCTTTTGAAATATTTCTCCATGACTGTTTGGAAAAACTAAAAATCAAAATAAAATTCATAATCAAAATCTTAAACCCTCTACAAATCAAAATCTCCAATTTTAATACAAATCAAAAAATTTAAATTAGCACAAATCGCAACAAATCAAAATTTTTAATCTTAGCACAAATTATAACAAATCAAAATTCCTAATTTAAATATTAATCACTGCAAATTAATATTTTTAATTTTGGCACAAATCAAATTCCTAATTTTAGCACAAACAACAATAAACCAAAATCCCTAATTTTAATATAAATCACCACTAATTAAGATTCATAATTTTAGCATATCAAAATCTCTTATTTTAACATAAATAATAACAAATAAAGAAAATTACAAATCAAAACTTAACAAATAATTATAAATTAATACTCATAATTTTTATTTAAAAGTTAAAAAAATAAAAATAAAGTTACCTGTAAACAATGAAGAGAAGATACCAAGGTTGTAGTGTGGTCCCAAATTTGTATTATGTGATCCTAATTTGGTGAGTCGCGGGTCGGTAAATTGCAAAGCAACAAAGGGGGACAAAGAAGACAAAGAAAATACGAAGATACTTCACAAGTATTGTGAATAAAAAAATAAAAAAATAAAGAATTTCATACACTTTTAAGGTTTAAGAGTTTTAACCTTGCTGTAATTGGAGTTGTGTGCACTCACCTAAAAAAAAGTTGTGTTAGTATTTAATTGGGATTGGGATTGGGATTGGGATTCCAAAAAAAAAGTAAAATAAAATATACAAACGTGGTGCGTCATGCGTGTGGTGTCAGTGGGTTAGTGGGTTTGAAATTGTGTATTAAGAGGTGGGGCACAATCTGTGTGTGAAAGACAGACCGCACTTAAAAAAAAAAAAGAAGAAAAAATTCAAAAGTTAGGGGGGCCACATGACCCCCTTGAGCCCAACGTCCCTCTGCCCCTGGTGATGATGGGTTTTGGGGTTGAAGAATATGAAATTGTCGGACAGTTTGAATGCAGTGGTGGTGGATGTTGAGAGAATGGATTTAAATGATTGTGAAATGGTTTGCTAGAAAAATTATTCTTGTACTGCTTATGCGAGTAAGAATATCAAAAATAATGTCATACATAATTGATTTTTCTTCCTTTTTTTTAATCATTATAAAACTGATGGAGAGAGAAAGAGGTCTAGCCGCCGCCGACAGAGTTGTAAAGGTGCAGAGAGGAGAGAGGGTGAGTTTGGGTAGGAGAGGGTGAGTTTGCATTTGTATTTTGAAATTTGAGACAAAAATATAATTTTTTTTTTCACATTTTTCTTTTCAAATGTGACGGTAAGGGCAAAATTGATACGATTTTAAAAATTTTGGAGGTAAAATTGTAATTATTCAAAATCTGGGAGTGTAATCGATCATCGAGACAAAGTATAGGGGTAAAAATGAAATTTTCTCCTTTTTTTTTTTTTTGAGTTGCCTAAGATTTGTAAGCAGGGGCAGAGGCGCCGAGGGGGAGGGTGGCCCGGCCTGCTAGCTACTGCAAAACTTCATTTATATATATGAAACTTCGTTAGTTTAATTATACTTGGCCCCCAATGTCATATATTTCTATTTATATACTTTTTGAATACATATGGCCACTTATTTTCTTCCATTCATTTCAATTTCTCTCAATTTTCTTCTCATTTCTTTCTTTTACTTAAGGGATAATTATGGTATCATAACAGAAGTTATGATATTTTGCAATATTAGTAGCAAATTATTGTGATTATGTTTTAAAAGAGTGCACCATAAGAAACATTGGGTTATGTTATGAACATTAAGATGTTATGAACTATTGTAGTGAGAAAAGTTATAAGTCATTGTAATTTTGTTATAAATCATTATTATATACACTACAAGAAAATACAGCTTTGGCGACCACTTTTGCCGACTAAAAATATTTTGGTTGCCAAAAGTTGTGGAATTGGCGACCAAAAATTATGTTAGTCGGTAAAAGTACAATATTTAGCTACTAAATTTTTTTAGTCGCTAAATTTGCCACAATTGGCAACTAAAAAAATATTTTAGTCGCTGTATAGATAGTTTTGGCAACTAAAATAATTTAGTCGTTGAATGAAAAATAAAAATTTACTTTTTATCTTTGGCGACCAAAATTTTGGTCGGCAAAACTTTAATTTCAGCGACTAAAAAATATTTTAGTCGCTGTATAGATAGTTTTGGCAACTAAAATAATTTAGCCGCAGAATGAAAAATAAAAATTTATTTTTTATCTTTGGCGACCAAACGTTTGGTCATCAAAAATTTAATTTCAGCGACTAAAAAATATTTTGGTCGCTATATATATAGTTTTGGCAACTAAAATAATTTAGTCGCAGAAAGAAAAATAAAAATTTACTTTTTATCTTTGGCGACCAAAATTTTGGTAGGCAAAAATTTAATTTCAGCGACTAAAAAATATTTTAGTCGCGGTATAGATAGTTTTGACAACTAAAATAATTTAGTCGCTGAATGAAAAATAAAAATTTATTTTCTATCTTTTGCGACCAAAATTTTGGTCGGCAAAAATTTAATTTCAGCGACTAAAAAATATTTTAGTCGTGGTATAGATAGTTTTGGCAACTAAAATAATTTAGTCGCTGAATGAAAAATAAAAATTTATTTTTATCTTTGGTGACCAAAATTTTGGTCGTCAAAAATTTAATTTTAGCGACTAAAAAATATTTTGGTCGCGGTATAGATAGTTTTGGCAACTAAAATAATTTAGTCGCTGAATGAAAAATAAAAATTTATTTTTCATCTTTGCAGACCAAAAGTTTGGTCGGCAAAAATTTAATTTCAGCGACTAAAAAATATTTTAGTCGCTGTATAGATAGTTTTGGCAACTAAAATAATTTAGTCGCTGAATGAAAAAGAAAAATTTACTTTTTATTTTTGGCGACCAAAATTTTGGTCGGCAAAAATTTAATTTCAGCGACTAAAAACTATTTTAGTCGCTGTATAGATAGTTTTGGCAACTAAAATAATTTAGTCGCTGAATGAAAAAGAAAATTTTTATTTTTATTTTTGGTGACCAAAGTTTTGGTCGGCAAAAATTTAATTTCAGCAACTAAAAAATATTTTAGTCGCTGTATAGATAGTTTTGGCAACTAAAATAATTTAGTCGCTAAATGAGAAAGAAAAATTTATTTTTATCTTTGGCGACCAAAGTTTTAGCCGGCAAAACTTTAATTTTAGCGACTAAAAAATATTTTAGACGCTGTATAGATAGTTTTGGCCACTAAAATAATTTAGTCGCTGAATGAAAAATAAAAATTAACTTTTTATCTTTGCTGACCAAAAGTTTGGTCGCAAAATATTTATTTATAGCGACTAAAACATAATGTATAAAAATTGAATTTGCTTATCTGAAGGAGCTCTCTCTTCCCCATTTGTGGGTCATCGATCTCAATCCCTCAAGCCGCTCTGTATGTCTTTGCCACCATCGCCGACACCACCGACGGTCTTGGCCTAACAGCTAGGCTAGTAAGAAGAAAAGAGGCATTTATCTATCACTTGAGAATCGATTAAGGCATGAAGATCTTCCTCCACTGATAAAAATCGTATCGATCTTGATTGAGAAATCAACCTCGGAGTTGAAAGGGTTGGTGTGACCAGAAGTGAGAACTCCTTCAAGCCATTTATCCATCACCCTGTGTTGTTGAAGCCATCCTTCTATATCTCCTACAGATGATACCCATTGAAGAAAATAGGGTTACTTACGTGTAGATCCTAATAGGTGGACTTATTGTCTAATAAGTCCTATGGGAAAATTTTGTTATAAAAAGTCACTAATTGTAAGTTTTAGCGAAAATTTATAAAAATCATGACCAAAAAAAGTCACTAATTGTCAATTTTTAGCGACATATAATAAAAATCGTCATGAAAAAATTATTTTTAGTGACAATTTTACCAAGACTTATTTTCAATAGGATTTACCTCTATTTCTATCAAATAGATAGGACCTATTGGTAGTTTACCCAAGAAAATATTCATACCTAGATCTCGATTAGCACATATGACTGTAAGCCTTGTGGTGGTGATACCACAGAGCAACTCATCAATAGCTATAGGCTAGGGCTAGGGCTCCACATCAATTGAGTTGTCATCAGTTTGACTAATTTTATGGTGGGTCCACTGTTGTTCTATGAAAACAAGCCGACCACGCTTGATCTTATTCTTAGGCTAGGGATTAGAGCTGGTGGAGCCTCCACTGCTTGCTTTTCGGCTTTGTTTACTTTCATTGGAGATGGGCTTCATGTTGCGGTGGCCAGTGGCGGAGCTAGAAAATTAAGTTAGAAGGGGCAGTTATTAATTATAATTTGTTATTTTTAAAAAAATCATGATCAATATTAAGATAAGAATAATTTATGAGCTAAATTTAAGCATAACAAATTAAAAATCATTATTAATAGGAACAAATCAAAATTTTATAATAGTGTGTAATACATCGGTGCGGGATGGTAATATAAGTTTGGTTTTTTGGCACAAAAATTTACCAGGTTTCAAAATTACTAATTTTAGAAAATAAAAACACATCATTTATAGCACAAAATATTATAAAATCTATTTAATTTTTATTTGACAAGAATTATTAAACAAATCTTATTGGTTATAAATGATGTGTTTTGAACGTAAATTATTACATAGTCTTCGAGTACCATGTGGTGTTGCCTATGCAATGCTCAAAATATGAGAAATCACAAATTACACTAAATAGTTTGTCAACAACTTCAAAATAATACCTTAATTATATTCAATCCATAAGATTTTGTACTACACTATTGGTTTAAACTACTACATAAATACATTTTGTATATGCCCACAAAACAAAAACAAAAAAAAATCAAAATTGGAAACATCTGAAAAAAAAATGAGTTGATAATATTGAAAACATCTGTAAAATTTTTAGCGACCAAAATTTGGTCGCAGATCTTAAAACGACCCCGTTTGAATGTTATTTAAGTAAATGTTGATTCAATACCGACCAAACAGTTTTGTAGAGAAAAAATTGCCCTATCAGCCGAGTGAATTTTTCAAACTCTTTATACTGTCACTCCCGCGCACCACTCCTCATACGCACCTCATCGTCGATTCTCCTGCTCGATTGTGTTCAACAAAGTCGCTCCTCCTCCGTCATCGCAGTCGCCTGTGTCGATTTTTCGACCAGGCATCAGCAGCGCTTCGAGAAGTACTTGGGCCTCCATTGTTAGGTATGTATTTTTATCTCTCTCTCTCTCTCTCAATCTTTGTAGTTGTGTTCCATTACTCCTCTTACTCACATGGTTGCTCTCTCTTTTCGCACCTAACAGCACCACCATCACCATTTTTCTGCTAGAACCAGTTCGCCTATCTTCAAACAACCCCGACATCAGGTATGGGTCCTCTCTCTCTCTGTCGCTCAATTTCTCTATTTTCCTTTGTTTTCCCTAATTGTCAAAACCAAGTTTTTTGAAATCCCTAATTTTAAAACCCTATTGAGTGAATGTTTGAAGGGATGGACTAAAATCATACTCTCCAGATAATGCAAAAAATGAAAACTGATATATATATATATATGTATATATATGTATATTCTTGTTTGTTCTGTAAAAAAATAGTTGCCATTGTGTCTAGGGTTCAAGTAATTTGTGGATTCTGTTGTTATTGTGTTTTTTTGGCTCCAACTGGGAATGCTTTGTTGAAGTGTTGATCACCATTATTTTGAGGTTTCATTCAACAGTGTAACAAGACTTGTATGTGCAAGTTCTAGAACTCAATTCTTCCTGTGAGGTTTCACCCATCTCTTAAAGACTTCTCAAAAACAATGTTTCCCTTATGTGTTCTTGATTGGTATTCAAAGGGTCGATCTATCTCAGCAATTTGATAAACATGGCTAGACCTCTCGCTTTCGAAGTGACTAGTGTCATTGCAACACCATCTTGCAATCTTATAGATGAGAGATAAGAATGACGAAAGCTCCTTACTTTCCCCTTTTCAGTTCATAAGCACCACGAAAGTATCAGGGGGACTCCGGTTTCAGCTTGAATCGCCAGAGTTTCTAGCAAACCAACCAAAATAAACACGTTATACATGGTGGGATGCGTGAGGAGGTTACTGCATAAGCAGCTCTGTTCATGGCTTAACACTAAGCCAGCTTCAAGAGCCAAAAACAACTTGGTGAAATACTTAATCAATGGCATAATACATTTCCAAACTCAGGTTTATGTTTACGAACATATCTACAGCCAAAAGTGCTTTTACACAACTCAGAGCAATTTCAGGCTTGCTCAAAACCATGTTCAGTCATTAAAATGAAGAGGAATAGTTCTCAATTATGTAATAGTGGAAAGATCAACAACATAAATGATACAGCAGCACAAACATTTAATGTTATGTTGTTCAGTGCACACAGATGACCAAAGCTATAGCTATTTTTTGTAGTAGGTTCTTAGGTGCTACACTACTCACTGGCCTTGTAGGCCAAATGGTATTTGGTTGGTCTCTCAACTTTGATATGAGGGGCTCAATTCTTGTTGTCTTGCCTAGTCAACAAAAGAAAAAATTCCTACATATTGCCTTACTTTTGTGACCTAATTATACATCTGAAAATAAGAGGAATTATTTAAATCTGACTAGGTCATGAAATAATCAACAGTTTGCAATGAGGCTATATGGCATAGGTGGTCATTTGGTTTGAAATGTTCAGTTCTTCCAGAGAAAACCTTTCGAATCATAGTGGTTATTTGGTTTGAATGCTTTGTTGAAGTGTTGATCACCATTTCGAATCATAGTGATCAACCTTTTGAATTATTATGTCTTCAACATGTGTCATTTTCTTCAGATCAAGCAGCACAGACCAAAGCATTCAATGAAATGAAGCAGACAGTCCCCTGAAATGAGTTCCCAAAAACTTGAATTATCACTATTTCTAGTACCAGAAAACTTGACTTATCAACTCTTGTTTTAATTGCAAGTTAATCCAAACATATGTCCACATAAGCTTGTATGCTTATCTGTGGATATTGTTGATATACATATCTGTTGTAGAGTGTGGATACAGCTTGTATGCTTATCTGTGGATATTGTTGATATACATATCTGTTGTAGAGTGTGGATACAGCTTGTATGCTTATCTGTGGATATTGTTGATATACATATCTGTTGTAGAGTGTGGATACAGCTTGTATGCTTATCTGTGGATATTGTTGATATACATATCTGTTGTAGAGTGTGGATACAGCTTGTATGCTTATCTGTGGATATTGTTGATATACATATCTGTTGTAGAGTGTGGATACAGCTTGTATGCTTATCTGTGGATATTGTTGATATACATATCTGTTGTAGAGTGTGGATACAGCTTGTATGCTTATCTGTGGATATTGTTGATATACATATCTGTTGTAGAGTGTGGATACAGCTTGTATGCTTATCTGTGGATATTGTTGATATACATATCTGTTGTAGAGTGTGGATACAGCTTGTATGCTTATCTGTGGATATTGTTGATATACATATCTGTTGAGAATGTGGATATAGCTTTTATGCTTATCTGAATGTGAGATATAGTTTTTATACATGTCTGTGGAAATGATGATAGAGCTAGCATGCTTATCTGTTGAAAAGGGGAAAATGAAAAGTAATTGGGACTTGTAAGTCGTTGACATAAATATGTAATTTATGTGATTGTATCAGTGTTGACCAACTATCAATTGCTAATATTTTAGTCATTGTTCATGGTTGGTTTAGTGTATTTCTACTGGGCTGTGGCTCACCCTATATGGGAATATCATTTTCAGGTGCAGGAAGCATGCCACCTCCAAGGACATAGCTGGGAGACTAGTGGCAGGCATAGTTTTTTTCGTTTTACTTTTGATGTATTACATGTAATTTCAAGCCAAGGGCTTAATGTGTAAACGAGTTAGAACTCTTTGTTGTAACCAAGTGTTAACTTGGAAAGCTGTAAGCCCGTAGGGCATTTTGTTATGAGGTTAACATGTAATACTTATGTCTTGGAATTCTAATGAATGAAAGGAATGAGGTTAGTTTATATGTAAATGCGTGTCTTATCTGATGGGTTTAATGTTATTATTTTGAGGGCGTTACATTACTCTACAGAAAAATTTTAAGGACCTTAAGGCACAGATGGATCTCAAGTCATATGATCTCTCACTATTCCAGAGTAGGGCTGAACAGAATGAACATCATAAGGTTGTGGTTTTAGCCCCCAATATAACATCTTGAAGTGGGAATTTAAGTGCTGTTTAGCTTAGTCCATTTGTCAGTATGATACCTCATTCTCTGTTTCCTGTACCATTTTATTTATTTACTTATTGGGTGTATTGTAGCTTTGTGAGCTTGTAAAGAGGATCGAGCAAGAACTTTTAGAAGCAAAATCTGCTGCCAGTGAAAAGCAACTTTTGTACGACGAATGTATAACTACAGTGTCATTGCTTTAAAAATCAATCTGTGAGAATACTAATAATCGGGATGTCAGGCTCAAAGATTTAGAGAAAAAGATTAAGGCAATAAAAGCTCAAGTGCAGTCAGCTTCTAAGGACCTCAAGGTAGGTGTTGAAATTGCTGACATTTATCATAAAATTCCCAGTAAACCTTGTGCAAACAACTTAACTTACTCATTTTTACAATGGATTTCCTGCCTTTTCA